ACATAACGCAAAATAATTCTACACATTAAACTTCATCTATCGTGCTGCAGTGGCAAAAGGATAAACTTCTGTAAATATAAAGACCAGGAATCTGGGATTTTTTTTTAATATGCATGTTCAAGATTCCTGGGAAAAACTGAGCCTCAGCTTTGTATTACTGAGATGAAACAACAACTATTGACTTGATTTCTGGAAAACTATGACAGTCAAGCAAGTTTATCTTATGGAGAAACAGAAAGTGTTGTTACAAAATGGTCAAAGTTTTTGATAGATCTTGAGTTTATTCTTCTTTCCAAAAACACAATTTTTGCAGCATTTGAAATACAGGTAAACAGTAACTTTAAACCCCAACAAACCTGAATTTGCTGGACTCCTTTAGCAACAGTATGTATCTGTCAAAGTTTAGATCACAGAGCCCCAATGCTGATTGTATCTACTATTTAAAACTAGCTTTTATCCAGGAGCTGTGGAATTCATCTTCATTTATGTTAAACTGCAAACACAGGCACAGAGCATGAACTAGGAAATTATCTATTTCCTGTTCTCCTCTACAAGCACAAGCAAGAGTTGCTATGCCTTTTTCAAAAGGCCCACACACTTATCCACCTCCCTTGCACACATCTCTGGGCAGCTTCATCAATTACTGAAATTACTGCCCTCAAGAATAGCTATGGAGCAATTAATATAACATGAATGCTTTAACTGTGTATATCCATTGCCTTCAAGCATTTTGACTGTCTTTCACATTAACCTCAAGTCTGCATTATTACACTTTTTGTGTAATTATTACACTTTTTGTGTTCTGATGTTAAATTAATTTTGATCTGTACCTTATACCAAGTTAAACTTCATTTCATCATTAATTCATTATTTCAAATAGAGCTCATTTCAGATACAGTTTGCTTAATTTATATAGGAAGGTTAGACACTAAACAGTAACTCCAGCACAGTACACAGAAGAAACACCACTGCATCTTAGTGATAATGGTTCATTGCTTCGACAGCACTTGAACGCCTTCTGCACTCAGCGTGCTCAGCACTGTGGGCGGGTATACCAGTTTCTCTGTTTCCCTTTTCAGGTGTGTCTTTGGGGAGCCTGCAGAGAAATTACTCACTCACCTGCTGCCCTCTCCATTGCCTTTCTACTGGCTAGCCAAAGCTGTTTAGTATTTATGGAGGAAGCAAATCCCCCCCACTACAACACTGACAATCAAAAACCACTTGTTCTGGAAGATTTTCTAACACCACTTACAGACTAAGCACAACCTCACCAAACAGATTTGGCTTTGTTCGAAATCTGACTACTTGTGGCCAAGCAGATTTCCTCAAAATGATGGTATTGTTTAGTCTTGACAATTCTATATTCATGAACAAAGGAATGAAATGGGAGAAAATAACTGTGCTGCTGATATGAAAATGCTTTGAGCAGGGGATGGACCACACAACCTACATTCTTCAAGGAGTCAGTGCAGTAACATCCACGTGGTGTGGATGAACTAGCATTTGGAGACCTCAAGAATGGATTTCTACTTCCCCAGCAATCCTCAGATGCCTAAAAGCTTGTCCACATAAGGCAAGCACCCCTCTGCCATTGGAGGGGAAGGTAGAATGCAGTGAAAGGCCCTAATGCAGATCTGTACTTTCCAGCATCTGCCTCTCATACTGCATCCACATCCACAACTACTGTAGAGTGCCTGTTTCACAAAGTCTGGCAAAGATGACAAAGGAGTATCCAGGCACACTGCAGCTCTGCAATCCTCAGAATTATGATCTGAGCCTCAAAAAAGGGGGTTGGACTTGAAAGTGCTATTAGCCCACAGCCATTCCAGTTGCAGCTGCCATCTCTTTAAGTGAATGAGATGTACTTCACAGTATCTTCTACAACTGATATAGAAAGAAAGGGCTTTACTGCACTTTACAGGAGTGCAGTGGTGGTAGAAGCCTGACATTTTCAAGGCTCAGAACAGTGAAATAACAACTGGCATTCATGCCTGTTGCAGAAGTGGCACAGTTGGTAACTTGTGTCAGAACAAAAATGTCCCCCAAGTTTCACAAGAATCAGGTTCAATCTGAGAAGTTTTATTTCATGTATAGTATTAGTACCTGAATGGATGCTGATGGTCACACCTAAAATTTAGTTAAGCTTCTGGCAGCACACAGAACAGAGTGGTAGACGTACGGTTAGTTCCCTATTTTCTTCTGTATAACTTCTATGTTTTAGTGGAGTACTGATCATGTGGGGTTTTTTTTTTTCCTTCTCATATATATCCATTTAACAGAAATGCGTATTTCAGTATCTGAATTCTTAAGTTCCATTAGTTTCTGTCTCTCCCACTACTGTGAGTGAGAGGAGGCAGAATTCAGATGTCTGCACCACTTCAGCTAGATACCCAGCAAGGCAGAGTAGTGGTTAGAAAAACATCCCAGCCTGTGTTCTCAGAATGTGTCATTTATCAATGGGCCTCACTGTCACAAAGTGTAACTTTGACCAGGGCACACGAGAGTTTAAAATACAAACAAAAATCAAAACCTGCAAATAAAGTACCTCGTACGCCACACAATTCCAGGACAATGCATGAGTTTGTTATACTAACACAAGTCAGGAAACTGACCTGATAGGTGGAATTATTAGACACTTGTTTGTTAGGTTTCTTCAGACTTCATTGGTGTCAAGAGTCTCGACAGAACACATACCAAACATGTGCCTCACAGTGCAAGTACTTTCCTGTTCCTCCCTTACATGCAGTTTGCTTTCTGCTTTTATGAACTGTACTGAAAATAAAACTAATATATACTTCTAAAATGAGATACTTACAGTGAAAATACCCATTAGCTGAGTGTAAAAGAGTCGACTTATTCCACCTAGTATTATTAGACCCATGAAGGCAGATATTCTTAGGAGAGCAAGCTCATGTCTAAATACAAACACATCCTAGAACAAGACAGAAAAAAGAGAGAGACTTTAGCAGATACAATATAAGTTAAATCTTTGAACCAAGTGGAAATACCAGATAAGAGATTTTCTCAAAGACTTACAGCTGAAGGCAGATATGGGATTCTGAGCTACATTGCGAATCATGGATACACTTGTGTATTAAAAGTAGAAACCAATAATTTTTTATTTATACATTTAAACAGTTGGGGGTTTATTTTGCCAGAGTGTTAAAAAAAAACTCCTTCAAGATTTAGCATTTTGGTAATAGATTAAGCCCAAATGGGTTATTCCTGAATCTTCCATCTCAAACTGTGCCAGACTGCTACACAAAAGCTACAGAATATAGGAAAACCATTCTGTTAAACAGTCTGATTTATTAAGATTCCTATACCTCAGCTCCCATCCACAGCACACTTCATTTTTACATCACCTCTTATGTAAGAAAAATAACCACATTCCAAGCTTGACTGTTGAAGATGGTACCCACAAAATCCAAGTACCTCTCTTGGACTGTCCTCACTGTAATATTGTCTATTATCCAACATAAACTTATTGTCACCTTTTAAATTTCGGGCTTGAGTGCATTACTGTAACTTTGTATAAGCATGCAGAATAAAGAGGTTTCAGGATGAGGGGAATGTGAATATATTGGACCAGCAGTGTTGAGAAGCCTACTCTCACCCAGCACAAAATATGAGAAGTGTTAGAGAACATCTTCAAAGGATAAAACACCTTATTTCTATCACAGGAAAGCATTTGTCCAAGTCAGTTACATCAAGTGTACTGTGAGTTCACATCCCACCTTACCCTTTGATAATGAGTTAACACACCCATTCTCTTATTTGTAAGTTTACAATTACGTTCTCAAGGCTGTCTTTTGAATGGACACATCTGGTTTTCCACTTAGAAAAGCTAGATCACAGCAGGAAACTAATAAAACCATTCAAGTAAGCTTTAAATTACAACCAGAAAATAAAAATGAACTGAATTAAAAAACCCAACAAACCAAACCAACCAAAAAAACCACACAACACTGCTCTTGAACTTTCCTTCTTTACATTCAACCAGTAGGACTTGAGGAATTCAGATATACTGGGTTTTAATTAAACAGGTAACAGTAAAAGCAAATTATGTTTAGTAAAAAAAAAATAATCTGATTTTTTATTTAAATTATTTACATGAAGGTCCAATTTAGCAATGCAAGAAAAAAGTTTGTACTGCCTAGTAAAGCTGTGAAGAAAGTCAATATTTAATGAACAAGTATAAATCACTAGTTAACCAGCTAAAACAAAAAGCAATCCCCAACAACCTTTTCTGAACTATTGTGATGGTGCATCCCACCCTTGTTAATCCTGGCCTTTCATGCTGCTGTAGAAAATCTATTCTTCACTTGAAAAAACTTCAAAAGCTTTTTTAAAACTCTTCTTACTCAGTTAAGGAGTTCCCTCAAAGCTAAATCAACTCAAAATAAAACCAGTCATAATATTTCCCTTTCCATGAGCCCACCAAAACTTTAAAGAAAAGCAAGGAAAGGCACAGTTTCTACTAGTTGTAAAATACTTCCTCTTCATATCTTCGCAGTTATGTTGCTTTATTATATCAGAATTGTTTTGATGTATTCAAACTAAACTTGACAGAAAATAGTGAAATTAATAAAAGAGTGCTAACAGCAAAGTTAAATCCTGGATCTAGCATCACATTCCTCCAATGGCATTCCCTGCACACTCTTAATTTAGAAAAGCTCCTTCTCTTGAGCATCA